GAAACATATAAGGTAAGTTAGCCTTAAAGTGTTTAATATGTAAAAGTCTGTTCGTATTATTTGTTCACTTATTTTTTACCCTCATACTATAATGTTTTTTTTCTTTTTTTAACATGTCTGATATTTTTCTAGCTCTTCTCTCAGTAATACATGCTCCAAGCATAAGATTTATGCTCATGACCACAGCCATTGTATTTTTCGTAACATGTGCAGTTATAGGATTATTAAAACTTCAATGGAATGGTGAAAACTTCTGGTACATTATTCAAATTATTTATCATAGAAGATATGTTCATTAACATACAAATCACATTGTTTACTTTTATGGAAAAACACTGATTACTTCAATGCATCATTTGTAGTTGGATGTGGGTAGTTTTTAAAAAAAATTGTTATAATGATTCAAAACATTTAGTCCCTTTAATAAATTTCAATAATGTAATAAGAAGGCGAAGATTATCAGAACTATGTGATATATTAGGGCAATACATTTTGAACAATCAGATCACACATATACTTGTTAAGAACATTTATATATAAAAAAATAAAAGGTCAACTAGACTGGAAATGGGGTAAGAGGAGACAGGGATAATAATAATAATAATAATAATAATAATAATAATGTGAACACAATTCGAAACCTAATTACTCACGATAATAAGCCAATAATGATTCAGTTTTTGATCGAAAAAATCTAGCATTAAAAAAATGAAAAGTTTATGTTCATGTCAATAGTAAAGAAACTGTTGAATGAATTAAATTATAGTTCAGAGAATGTGTGGTGAAATTTATGAATTGAGACTCATCTTCACTATTCTCCCTTGTTCAATATATATCTTTATTATTATTATTATTATTATTATTATTATAAGCTTTATTCAATATTATATTTTTGGTACAATATAGAATTCTCAGCACAGAGTATTTCAACAAGTTTCCATTTCTTTCTTCTTGGTCGGTCCTGGCGTTATTGAGTGATCGCCAGCTAGATGTTAGCAGTTCAGTAAATGAACATCTGACTAATGTGCATTCTTTTCGCCGTATATTGCCAGCAACCACATTATCTCTTATTGGGTTTTTGTAACTTTGACAACGAAAGGTTGTAAACTTTTCAGAAACGCAGCAGAATAGGTTATGCGATTAATAAACATAATGATATATTAGAACAAACAAAAATAGATAACTTGTTGAAATGTCTAGATGGCAGGAACAGGTAGCCCAGATGCTCAAGCAGGCCGATTTAAATCAAACACTGAACTATTACATCAAAAAGTATTGAGAAGAATAAAGAAAAACTTCGAAAATACTTAATAAAATGCCAAAAGGAAATGATCTAACAAAATAGTATCTATAATCTGAAATTTCAACTGAATTTAATTTTTTTCGATTTGTTAACAATTGTAGTATAATATATAGGATCAATTAAGGGTTAATAATAGTGTAATTCTCAATGTTTTTTGCACAGTAAAAATGGATGAATTTTGGAGACTTATCGGAAACATAAATATGATATTTCATGATATCAAATAGTCTAGTCACAATAAACTAATTAAAATGGTACACAAGTTAGATTACAAAGATCATTCAATCCCACTGTCTATTTAGTTTATCTTAACACAAATTACTCAAAATTTCAACTAATAGGCGTATGAATTTTAATTTATGATATTAATTTTTTTAGAGGTTGTTTTCATTATTAATTCATATTGTTTACAAGAAAGCTGTATTGTATACTGAAAGAATTCAATCCACCACATAATATTAAAGAACACAAAATATGGCTATAACTGGAAAAGGATTAACTTTTTAACCCCCTCCCGCCGCCGCTGAATCATTCTCACAACAATAGAAAGGTGTTTTGTTACTATGACGTTGTAAACAAATAAGAAAAATTAAAAAGAAGAATATATTTGTAAAATCTCAGCGAATGAATTTTAAGTAAATCCAACGTTTCTCCTGGCAATCTGGTCCAAGCTTTTTCAAGGAAATTCATTCGTTGAGATTTTACAAATATATTCTTCTTTTTAATGTCTCAAATTAACTCGGCGCCCAAATATTGTGAAACTATTCGTTCAAATTTAGACGAAAGTTCTTATTTATAAATAAGAAAAATGTTTCAGCATTTTTTTTCTTCCTTTTTTGCTTTTTTCCAGTAATTTTTTCACTTATCAGATTTCAACACCTTCCATCATCTTTCTGATTTTTAGATTACATAAAATCAAGTGTAATAAAATCAGTTCAAGGGAAAAAAGTAGTATTTGTTATAACATATAATTGTATTCATTTCATTTACTTATTATTTCCATATTCTTTTAATACATTATATTTCCTAACGTTTTTCTCTTTAATCTCTAATTACTTCACATATTAAGATGATAACAGTGTCAACCTAAATTTACTGAGTAGTTGAATGATTATATAATTTGTATCAGTTCATTTCAATGGAAATTTTCAAGTTCTTATTCAAAATTATAATCCCTTACTAAACTAAAATAAAAAATCAGAAGTTACTGGATAAGGATGAATGTTTTGTATGATATGTACTTCATTCACCTTTTTGAAGAGTCATCATCACTAAATACATTTACTATTCATTAATCGCTAGAGTATATTTTAATGTTTAGTATTGAGTTTCTGTCTAAAATCATATTAATATCATGAATCAGCCAGATAGATAACAACAAAAGTTATACTGTACTAACAAATCTGTTATGTTGCACTAAGGTTGAGTCTTCATTTACAAATATGTTTTTTACGAAAGAAATCCTAGAAATTAATAATGATATCTAGCTTGATCATAAAACCTTCCCATCAAAAGCTTCAAGAAGATCAGTTTCTGTTGTGAGGAGAGGTGTCCAAAATCTAATACTCATATATGACATGCGACGCGCTAACCCCTAACTAACTACTTGAGCGAGAACAAAAGATTTGACGAGGAAAATATTGGGCTAACGAATAAAATGAATAAATACTCATATATATATATATATACCCTGTAGAAAATCCCTCCATTTCTTAGCCAATGAAATTTACTTGTCCTACAGGTCATTTATGATTTCTATCGATTGACCTCATTTGGCTACTTCTGATTAGCTCACCATATCAGTTTCCAATTTATAGTGACAGAATTTTATTTGTTTTAACATTTTTACGATGGATGCTATCAGAAAGTATTTTGCCTAGTCGGTCATACTAATTACTGTATCATTCCATCCACAAATTTCGCTATGCTATAACTACTATATATATTCATGAACAAACTAAACAAGAATGTGGTTAAACTACGGAATTCTTCTCTTTTTAACCAAATTTATTTCGCAAAACTGATAAGTACATACTCTCACTCGTCGATTTAACCCAACGTTCAATAAACCCCATACATGTTCTATCCCTTACAACATCGAAGAAAACTTCACACCCACAATTTAAGCATTGTTGGAAGTTTGTGGTGACCAAATAGAATGAACTTGCGGGTAATAAAACTGTATATAGATTAGGCATTGAGTTGTAAAAGAATGGTGTGGGTTGTACACTTTTTGTACACGTACACTTTCGGTGAATAATGCATCATTCTTGACTTGTATTGTCCTAGTTAGTGTACTTTTAAATTATTCTTAGTGCATATAGAACATTAGTTCAATTTAATTGGCTTAAAAATAAGTTTTTTATCATCAGGTTTAAATATCGACAACCTCTGAGCCACCTAATCGAAAAACCTCATTCTTGAGTTGTGCGTTTTCTTAAATGTTATTAAACTTTTTATCAGTCTTTTACATATTTTTTTCAATAAAAATATTTTTAGTTTTACATTCGTAATTAAGAGTTTGAACATTTTCTATGTTGAACTTTACCGGTTATTTCATGGTAACCTTTATCCCAATAAAAACGTTTTCCATTTCTTTGACTGACCTTTAAATAGTATGTGAACGCAAACAAATACTGTCATTAGAAGGCATTACTCACTTTTATGATGATAATCATTTTAGGAATGATTTTAAGTGATTACAACGACACTGCTAATCTCATTTAACAAGATGCAGGCTATAATATTCACTTTTATATTTCAACTTACTGACAAATTTGATGGAAAAGCATTGAATTACAATACACCGCATATCCTGAGAGATGTGAAGAAAATTTGGGTTATATTTCCTACAGATTTTAAGTTCGACTACTTCAACCGCCATCTAATCTCAACATGATGTACGTAATGTCAAGTCACCTAAATAGTGACCATATTGCAACTTTGTTGATAGGGTTCGATCTACACTCGGAAGGACCTGAGACACATAACATTGATCATCACCCAGTGATCAATCAATTGTAAATACAATTAATATTATAAAAATCAATAAATCTTTTATCATACTGCCAACTTTTTGATTTATTCGCTTTTTTTCAGTGTTTTAATATATCAGAGTTCTATATCACATTTTTCACACATCATAAGGAATTGATCTATCATAATTACGGATATCATTTTCAAAATAAATGAGATCCATTGATCGTTGTAATATTATATAGTGGTTTTCTATGTATTTCAGTCTAGCAACACTCAACATATATGAATACTTTTTAATCACCATAAAGATATCACAATAAATATCAGCAATTCGATTTTACTTGGCTTGATTAGGTTGTATCTCATAAGTTACTCAGTCTGTAAAAAATGTTTCACAGACTAGTTATCGTGCAAGATGGATTATCTATGGGCTATATCATGTGAAGGTTATAATTAGTGACTTTTTAATCACTAAATAAACTTACCTATCAATTTCTTTTTAAGAATAAAATTTAAGTAATCAGCCTCAATCTTTATTGACTATCAACTTTCACTAATGAAATATAATCAGTCTGTTAGTGATATGAGTGAAAATAAAGTTAACTATCTATGTAGTCTAGTAGTAGCATGACTCGGTCATGAAAATCAAGTACCAGTTTTGCGTTTACAAAAATGAAAATAATATCTACTGACTTTAAGTAAGAGAACACTTGTTTTATCTATATATATATAATTTTTCGATATTTCATGAGAAATCTAAAAACTTTACATCCGGACTAGGCGGTGGTGGTTTAATTAACATTGGTAATGAACTGGAATGATTAGTTTGATCAGTTAAATCAAAGGAATTGAGTGCCAATATATTTTTGTTCCAGTGTTTTTCTGTTGAGACAGAATGACGTATTTGTGGTAGAAAAGATTTTGTTTTAGGTTTCAAGGTGATCAAATCAACTGAATCGACAAATTTGTATTTCTCTAGAGCGATGTAATTTCTGTCATTATTGTTTTTACTATTATTATCTTGAAGTAATCTTTTACGATCTGAAACAGAACCTATTGTATGCATACGTTCAATATAACCTGGATGACGTCGGCTAGACCAGTAGGAATTATTGAAACGGCTACTAAAGCCGTCATTATCTCGTTCATGTGTATCTTCTGTTGGCCTCAAGAGTTCCACTTCTGAAGTACCATTGATAACGTTTGAATCCAGTGATTCCTTCCTGTGGTGTTGATTATTAACATTCTCTAAAAATAAAATAGGACAGTTAAAACTTTATGATAGCTGTTATTTTTTGAAATTTACAAACGATAGAAAATAAAAGTACTCTGTTTGTTTCAGTAAGTAAGCAAGTCAATTTACTGAAATGTTTCAAAGAAGCCATTTTAACGAAAGCTGATAAGATCTAGCTGAACCACTTCTTGCATACTGATTCCAAATATGAAGCTCAGTATAAATGTTTTTTTTTTCGATTTTAGTGTTATCCAAAATGGAATCATTGGTGACAAGTTTTAAATAATACATTATCTATGATTTTTAGCGAAAATTTTCTTAAATATATGGTATGACAAATAGAGGAAACTAGATAGAAAAAGGCTAAAGATCAAAACTTAAATTGTTTGGAGATATAGATTTAGTCTACAAGAGCATTGTTTATTAACATCAAGAAAATTCAATAAATCGTGTTACCACCAGACAACAGAAATAATTAAGCGAAATAATATCGACCAATCAGGAGAGACTTGTTTATGTTCAGCTAATCCAGGTGGAAGAACATGTTGACTGAAAGGATACACGATAGATTATTCAACTGATTTAATACTTATTTGAACAGAATTACAATGGAATTAACAATCTCACTTCTGAAAACACGATCGTTTTGCTTTCTTCTTTTAATAAAATGATGTGCAATTGGAGATCATATTTCGAAGTACTCTGTGTGAATATAGTGTGGTTGATAACCACACACTTGTTCAAACTTTACCTTGCAATCCATTGAAAATGATTTTAATCTAATTTATATCGATCGTATTGAACAAAGTAAACAAATAATCTGTCATTTAAGAAAATAATAGACGAGTAAAATGTAATAAATCGAATGATTATTAATCAGTATGCTATTCGTCTTAAGTTTTATTAGGCATACCAAGGTTTCTCTATCAACTTTGCCTAGAAGTGCATTTTCTACAAATACAGATATCATTTTTATACAATTGATGTATATAAGATTTTTCCGATTGGATTTCACATTTTCCTCGTAAACAGTACTCCTTTATCTGGGCTTGAGACCGACAGTAACACTAAAAAGGATCCAGATGGAGCCCAATGGTTATACATCTCAAAGAATTAGTCTTTAAATTAAGTTAAACATAAACTGTCATTTGATAATTTATCATGTTTAGTCAATTAGTTCTCCATAGTAAGTTATCTTTTTACTCCAATTAAGCATAACTGGCAAACTCCAGATTTTACTTTACTGAAAACGCGAAACAACCATGAGAATTTCTGTGCACATTGAGTTTGAAATATTATGTAATATGGTGTGTTAGAATCAAAATGAGAGAATAGCTACATTGTTTGAAATGAAGTATGAAATGATTCATCGAAATTTTCATTTCACATATTTCTATTAATGTAGCTATGTCCTCATATTAGTATGGAGTATATCTTGACATTCAAAATACAATCTATTCACATACCATAATCGTTTTCAGTGGCGTCGTGTAATTTAAACTTGTAAAGCTGTGAATAATCTTATTCTTCCCAAGACTGATTTCTTGGAATCAAATGTTTGCCTTCTCTTGTCTGACTATGTACATTGTTACTTTTTAATCCTCTGTTTTCTCTTGTCAAATAATTTTATTTGTCGATTGTCAATTAGTGATTAGCGTGGAATATTTAAATTAATCCCTTTTATTGATATTCAAGACTACATTTATTAATTTTTATGAGCATATGGTTTCCTCAAATGCATTCCTTAGTATGATTCTCTCTTATAATATAAATATATTGGGTGAACAAAGTAATTACATATTCTTTTATCATGATAGCTGATAAGATGACACTGTAGAATTCACTCGGTAGATCATAGTGTGATTTGTAAGCACTTATTGGAATTAAACAAACGAAATGTAATACAGTACGATTTATTTCAGGTAGACAGAATAATTTTGTAGACTTCATGTAAGTTTTAGAAAGAACAACATCATAAGAAGAACCTCTATATGAACGGAATCCATTATAAGTTAAATTATTCTAGATTTCTACTAACCGATTACTGAGTAATAACTAATGCCGTTTTTATCCAATCTTTAGAGTTTATTAGATTATGTCAGCCAAGGTCCTTCTACGCTTAGTAGTCCAAGTAACTCGAAACGCTTTCACTAAATGTTTCTATATTGTTTCTCAGTGAATCAACTTGATGATGTCATTCGATTATTTTATTTTATGAACAGCGTTAACAGAAACCATCAAATAGAATTATTCATTTGTTAATAACTTTATAAGTAATTTACCAATCATAAAATTTAATTTCAATTCATTCTTTGTTTGTTTCAAATTATCCGTACAAATTTGATCATTTTTCAGTTGTTGACTTTTATTCAATATATATTGAGTTTTAGATCTACGAAGTAATCTTCCAGGCATTATTTTCCATATAGCAACTGAATTTGAACCATTTTCAAATGAATCATTTATATTAGATGATGAATTCTCGTTTTCCACTAAAAAAAAATCAGAAACACTATCTTGGTTAAGTATGATTCTTTGGAAAAATAGACATATAAGTACTTGTAGGAATTATAGATGATGGAAAATAAAAATAACAGTGTTATGTTTTAGTAATTTGTTGAGTGAAATCCATGAAAATAGCCAATAATTCAGATCAATATTTTAGGTCTTTTGAAAGTTAACATTATTTACTTAGCTGGTTATATTTATTTGTTCAAAAATTTGTGGCTTTGTCAAACTGTTAAACTCTGGACCTTTACAATAAAGTTATTTTTATCCTTTGGCATAAGCTGACTAAAATGTTTTTGGGATGTCTCCTTGTCTGTAATATCAGATATAGATGATTATGTGAATTGAAAATAATGAAGAAATATTATTATATTCAAGTAATCATTGAACTTTCAAGTAATATAGGTTTGTTGATATTTCTATCATAACATTTAAATTATCTTAAAATTCTGGACGGAAGACAAAACCCGACTCACACGTTCGCGTCGTGCCTCCTGGATAGTGGGACGAATGACCCATGAACTATCGTGAGCAGTATACAGGTGGTAGAGATTGGGCCAATCACCCCACTCGACCGATACCTTGAAAGTGATTACGAAATCCACAAAGAATCACAATATATATGTTGATCGAAAAACGACAAAAATTCACAAAAGTAGTGCATATAATGTATAGGGTTGCTCCTTACGGAGCAAACTCCAACCGGTTGCGAAAAAAGTTGTTCTAGCCCCGGTAGTTGTGTCGTGATTCGATGTGGCCTGTTTTTCTCTAGAGGGGCCTGCTAGACTTCACCAACTTGTTTGGCTGGAAGGGGGGAACAAATCTCGGACAAGAATTTATATTTTCATTGAATATACTCTGTTATCTTCTTTACTCATCAGTTTCTACAAATCAAAGATCATGTATGCATACTAGAAGATCTCTGTAAGAAGTTATTATTAAGGTAATGGTGGAATGACAAGAACGTCCAATTGTCTATACTGGAAATTTATATTTTTGAATTAATTGAACTAGTAACACTTTTTTCTGATTAATATATAGAAATCAGACTGATCCAATTTCGAAATACATTTTCATTATTTTTAATAATCGGAAATTTCTACCTACGTTATCTGTATGAAGATGATGTTAAGCAAATAGCATTATAAATCTTCATCTAATCTGTTAATAATTTATTGCATAGATGAGGTATTAGATCAGTTAGCATTGATCAGTTACAATTTAATCAACTCAGTTTATTAAAAAAACCTTCTAGATTATACATCCAAAACTATTACAAAATTGTAAGTGATGACAGTGTCATAAATAGATTACACTTTAATCGTTTACTAGTGAATCTAAAAAGTCGACAGGAAACCCATTCGACTACCTCAAACCACCATCTAATCTCAATATATAGTGCACGCAGTGTCGAGTCACCTAGACCGGTGGCCACATTGCAACATGGTCGATGGCATTCAATCTGCACTAAATAAGGACTTGACACAGATGACATTGATCACCACCCAGTGATATCAATCAATTGTGAATATAAAAAGTATTCAACATGAATGTTCGTATTTTCTAGAACTTTTCAAAATTTCTGACTTTCATTTGGAATCATGAATTCGAATACTACCTCGATTTGCTTCTTAAAATTAAATTGATTATTTCCATTAAATTATATTCAAATAGATTAAAATACCCAGACAAAATGTGAATTAGAAAAACTGATATTTTAAGAAATGTAATTTCGTGAACTTTTAGTTTTAAACTATTATTATTAGTTAGTGTCAATTATGAGATGTAATACATTTTGTACAATTGCTATTTTAGTCAATGATTGATAATAGAAGAATTTAACATAAGTTCTTGTTCATAATATATGAGACATGTCAATTCAACTGACATATATTCATGTTGATATTTCAACTTAAATTATCATACACCACTTACAATTCAAATATCCAACACTCTATTTACCAAAAACCAATTCTGATTTGGTAGATATGAGTTGTCTTTTTTAAAAACTTGTGATTCCATATTTTATTAGTACAGACTGATAAAATCAATCTCGAAAGAATTCAATAATCAAAAATTGGTATGCATATCAGCTACCACACTTTGTTTAATAATAAGATATGATGAAAAAACTAAGAGCAATGAAATACAAGATATAAATAATAAACCAAAGTTGCTTAATCTTAGTGTAGTGAAGAGAACACAGATGGGGACAGAGTTGCTTGGTAAAATAGGAAAACCATATAGCAAATTTTTAATTTGCAAATTATTAATCCATCATATCAAACCGGACTGTTCCTGTTACAAACATCAATTTATTGTCTCACATTTCATTGTTCATGCGTTTTCTTACAAATCGCATTGTGTTCCCGCTCTTTCTTTCTTGATCTTCTCCCATCTTCTGCTGCCAGACATTACGTTTTTAACTCGTGTCATATACTACTTACATCAATATAAGTAGCACGCACCACATTAGGACATTCAAATGCAGATAACTTATAACACTACAAAATTTCTAAATTACATTAATATCAAATTTCTAGAAAATATAATTCAGAAAGCAAACATGATTTCATAGATCTTACATAAATTTCTTGATTGTATTATATCAGTAGTGTAGTACTTTTCTTGGCTAGATGAAGATGGAATCGTTTCACCTAAATTGTAGCTTGTTTCTTTGAACTCTGAATTTTTAGGTAATAAAGATGGCCAATTAATTGGTGATGTATAACATCGGTTCATGTATAAACTTTGTAGATTATCAATAGAACTCATATAATAGTGAGGAGGAGTTGGCTCAGATCTTTTTAGTCTGGACTGTTGAAATAGTAACAGGTCACTTAACAAATGTGACTTTGCTTTTAATTCATCTTGTTCCTGAGTAATATAAATGATAAATTGAAAAAAAAAACGGCACCTTATTTAATAATAAAAGCTGATGGATGAATAAAAATAAAAGGAATTAAGCGAAGAGAAGTTTCTTCCCGATTAAATCATTTACTTAAACTGTAAATGATCTCGTCAAAAAGGAGATTTTCTTCGCCGAATTCTACTTTTATTCAATGACACAATGGGTTATTTTAATTAGCTCATAAATGAGTATAACACTAAAACATGTTTTTTCTAAATGGTGATCATTTGATGAATGTTTGTTTTGTGTTCGATTTGTGTTGAGTAAAAATAGATTGTAAAGTTAGTTCGGTATTAATTAATAAATATGATCGATTAATTTAGTTATTAGTGTGTAATTACATCAACTTATCACCATATATACATGTGTATTTGACTGATAAATTTGTAGCGGTAAATAAATCCCCAAAATAAATAGCTCTGTAAGTTTTCGACATTGGATGCTGACCACATTAGTTTTAATGGACTCACCTAGCTGAAGGTGCTCGGTCATGCATCCACACCAGATCACGAGTGGGAACGCCGTGCTCAACAACCCCTGCAATCGCTAGCCAGATTAGACCAGACGATCCTCGGTATATTGATAGTCTATCAAATATATCTTCGAACCTCCTCGCTTCTGTCTTTTGATTTCACTTAGTGGGTACGATTCATATTAGAAGGTTTTACTGGTTAAAGCGTTGTCAAACTCCGAGTACCTGTGGCATCTTCAGGTTTAAATTATAGAACAGATACTAAGTGAGAAATAAAAACTGGCCAGCTGGATTTGTTTCATAAATTTTAAGTAGATCAATATTCACTTGTTATTAATTTATAAGTTGATGAGTAGTTTGCCGAATAAAGGAATGGATGAACATGACCAATTAATCAATTTTCGAAGTGAAAAACAATAAATTTTCTTCGGAATACAATTGTTCATGAGATGAAATGTGCGAATAATTACTTGAAAGGCTTTGTCTATAACGGTTACTAATATTATTATATTACATAATATATTATATATTATATTATTATAAATTAAATTTAGGCGATTACTGATAATCCATGACAGTTTTCCAAATGGCTTTTTAAGATATACCGACCATTCATACACAGAATGAATTGTTATCTTGTCGGATAAAAAATCATGAATTTTAACTTGAGTGTTTATGAAAACATAATCATACGTATGTATATGAATTTAGTGATAAGGAGACTTCTACAAAGAAAGTTGTATTTAATTTCGTTGCTAGTGTAAATTCAACTAGAAATGTTAAGTGTGAAACATATCACTATGATAACTACTCTCTTTATTTTAGTAATATAAAACAAACGACTAAAATTCAAAACAATCTGACTTACTTGAAATGGAGAATCAGAAACTTTTCGTTTATCATGTCTAGAACACTGAGATTTTAATAGTTCGTTCAAGAAATACGGTTTAGTGTGCTGGTACTGTTCCACATTTACCCCATTTGACTTTAATGACTCATTAAAAGAAATAAGTTTCTGGTTTGGTATGGTAAGTTCTCTAGTGAATAAACTAAAATGATTAAATCAAATTTCGAAAGAATGATACATTTCAGTGTTTTATTGCTAACCTTTACAGTGAAAGCTAAAAGAATAACTATATAATACTTGTTATCGCTAAGATAATCAAGAACGAGTTATAAAAATAACCTTTTTATTTCATCAAAATCATGAACTGATCAATGTTAAACCACCATTGAAAACCTGGGAGTATTGGATGACTGTTTCTTCCTAGTGTGCGACTCCGCAGTAGTGTGAATCCACGATCTCGCACACAGGATTCAAACCTAACACTTTTGGTCTCGATTATCTTAAGTCGAGATCTAACTTCTATTCCTAGGTTTCATGTCTTCATTTCAATAAACTTCTGGGTCACCCATAGTTTTGTGATAATCCATGATATCTAAATAATGTTATGATGTTTCATTCTCAGAATTAAAACCATTCTTTGATCTAATGTTTGCTGACTCCATCAGTTTGATTTCAAGTACAGTAGCAATTATACTCACAAAGTGTGATATGAAATCACTTGAGCGAATGAGTCTTTTTCACATATCCATTGCAAAAGGACGAGATCATTTTAATTATTAGGTTTCTGAATTAATTCGAAATCGCAGTCAGAAACAGAGTAGGATATTTGTGATGTGTTTCACAATAATGGAACTAATTGGTTAAAATTTAAGCTGGTATCATAAATAAACTCAAAGAAATTGAGATTACGCGTAACGACATTTTCAAAATATTCCAACTTATAAAAGGGTAATGGATTAGGTATAATATTTCGAGGTTTAAAATTCTCCAGTTTTTATCCACTTTATGCTATCTAAAATGGATTATTTTATATAAACTACCACATATATAAATAGTTAGCCTATCTTTTGCAGTTTGTTTAACTCTTAGATTGGTGGTTTAATAATCAATGGTAGTTTAGAGATGAAGTTCAGTTTGGCGGCTGGTTATCAAGTAATCGTGTTATATGACTGAAAAGTTAAACTATTAAGTTGATCTAACCAATAAAAATAACTTAACAACAGTACTCGCTGTAATGGTAGTGGTAACTTCACACTAATTTGTGATATTAAGACTATCTCATTGAAATACTTCATTACTCCAGTCTCTGGTGTACTATATAAGTAAAGCAATAGCCTAATATGTTTCTCGCTGAAATTTATATACTATTTAAACAGCGACATCGACGTTTGTTTGCTGTCTAATACTTTATATATAATTCACGTTTTTATCGGTTTTATTTGCATAGAATTAGGAACTATGACTACTGAATATAAATCAGTTCACACTCCTTCAGTTGACACTCCTTTAGATATCTCACTGGATACTAGTGACTTCTAAGATCAGCAAAGTTCTATCCAATGACAGCCAAAATCACGGTCTTCGAAAGCACATGGAACGACATCACTTGATTTTTGATGTTATGGAGGGGTGGGTCAATAAATGGAGCGTTTGACTTACAGTTCAAAAGTGGCGTATTCGGCAACCAGGTGGTATCATTAGTCTTCAAATATAGGATACGTTTCAAGAGCAATTACACGAATTCATTCCAAGCAAATGATTATTCAAAAAATAACTGGTATTTCAAATGTTAACGAATGGAATACGTAGTCAAGGATCCACAGGTTTAAAGTTGTCTAAATCCAATTACGAGTTTTATGCTTTCATACGTGATCAATACTTTCTTAGTATGCGCGTACTTAAGACAAATATATAAGTCTCTGCCTAGGCAACTAGCGTATTCCGGTTTTGACTGAGAGTGGAATCCAGGAAGCCTATTTTTGACATATTTGGGAATTGTTGGGTGTATGTGCCTGGATCCCAGTATTGATGTTTAAAAACTAATGTTATTAAGCTTATGACCGCTTGGCTACATAGGAACAATCTGTTCATAAAAGGCATATGTCGATTGAGATTGATAAATAATGGCCCTTAATAGCCACAACGAATAGACTTAAACACTTATATACACAACCACCATATCTGTTTCTATTTAATCCAGAAAGTACTAACATTTGCTGGTCATCTCCTTCGAAACCACATACATCTTCTGAGATTTTTGTTAATGAAACCTTACTGTCAGAAATTCTTTTTTCTGACCTTCTGTCTGATTCAATGTTACTTATGTTAGGACACAATATAAGACTTCCTTGTTGAATATGTCGACGTATTTGTGCTCGAGCCAAGGGTAACAATCTTGCCCTTAGGGCTTGTTCGCTTATATGACAGGATATCATCCATCGTGGCTAAAATATAAGAAAAATGTACAAACATTCTGCTATAATCAGAATTTCTAATATCATGCAAATAACCAATAATTAATGAATCAGAGTATCGTTTTGTTCTAAAATTGTCACTCGTATTGTAGTGTGAGCTATTTATATTCACATAAGAAGTATTTAACGATTATCAGATATAGAATGTATTTCAGTGGAAGATCGAAAGAGAAGAATGGAAACGGAAAATGCGTGATCAATGAAATCTGAGACAATGGACTGATATTTGTTAAAGGGACAGTCAACATTGAGGCAATTAATTGATATTTTGCAAATTAATTTTTAACTGTATGGTTCTCAGATTTCAGTGAGATGTGCTGTAATTTTGTGCCCAAATACATTCGACTGTTGTCACTTGTGTTCTTGTTCACTACAATATGACTAATATTTCTAGTACCAAAAATATCTAACTGCATCTTTCCAAATATTATTAAACAAAACGATAATCATAAAAGATGGCTTCTTGGAATTGATTAATGAAAACAATTTCGTGGATTAATTGAAGTTAGACATTAACACCGTTGGATGCCGGCTAAGTGGTCTAATGGTTAAACGCTCACGCGCGAGACTGATATGTCCTGGGTTCAGACTCTCGCGGGGCAGGGTTGTGGACGCGTACTGCTGAGTAGTCCCACAATAGGACTAAACGGCTGTCCAGTGCTTGCAGGTTTCTCATAGTGGTCTAGCTTCAACTGAATCATGATTTCAACTATTGAAATTTCTAAAATCTCCATAAACCTCTCCTGACACAAAACAAACTTTTTTAGAATGATAATGAAATGTGAACCGATCCACCTATTCAAGTGAGTAAGTGCAACACCATCAAAATACTAAATCACTTCAGTTTGATTATTTAAATGAAAATAATTAAACAATCATTACTTTACATTCACTTGGTATTGTTTGGCTTGTATCTTCCCATTGAGGTTTTTAAGACTGCAATTGATCAGTCTGTTATTGGCATATGTGCATACTATGCGTATGCCTCGATATTACCTTAATTCACAAGTTTTTTGTAAGCAATGATAGATAGTGACTAGCAGTGGAATCCAGGACGCGCGTTTCGTCCTATTTGGGACGCGTCAGCAGGATTCCACTGCTAGCCACTATCCATCATTGCTTACAAAAATCATTATTTTAGTTTCGATTTCTGTTTTGCACAATGGTAAAATTATTTTAAAAAAAGAAATACAATACCATCAGATTTGATTTATTTCAATTATTTACAAAATTTTTGATTCAAAAAATTGGAATTCACTTGAAGCATCTATCTGAATAATGATGTGTAAAAGGTAAAATAAATCAAAGTTTATATAATTGTGTAAGTGTTAAGGTGATTCAATAATTGATTTTAAAATTACCTAAAATATTGACAAAAGTGCATTCATTATTGATTTTTCAGAATTGGTAATGAAATCTAATAGCTTCTTGTAAACTAAATATTAAGTTGTGTGTTTTTTGTTTTATAGTAAATACTATATGTTCCCTGCTAAGTATTTAAATTACGTTTTTATTCATTTGTCATCATTCTATCCTTATAAGTCACTATGACTACATCATTCATAATTATCAAATTTGAAAATATGTCTTGTTTAAGTTTGTTTTAAATTTTATACGCTATTGTCATTATGAACAAATTTCGATACCAAGTTTTGGAGCTTTTCTGTCATTTCTCTAGTTCTTGTGTTAATTTAGTATAATCATCAACTCTGTTTGCATATTTGACTTATTAAACTTTTTCCAAACAGAAGAGTATAGATGTTATGTTATAATATTATTCTAGTGAAACATTCTAAATATTGTTACACTTACGTTTTTCACTCTAGATATAATGTACTTTTAATTACAGATTACCACATTCGGCTAGTACTATCTAAACAAACTAAATTTACCCCAAATCTTACTCATTATCTTCTGTAATTAATAGGTAATTTAAACTGTATAGTATGATGTAGTGTAGACTAATTTATAAATGTAGTCAATAAGGTTTAGCAATTAACTTATCAGTAAATTGAATAAAACGTAACAAGTTTTATAATACATTTTCCAATCGAGTCAACAGACATCTAATGTTACCTTAATAAGGATTCACCCCGAAATATATTCTAATACAAACTGATTGTCACTGAGTGCACAATCCAAAACTGACGTTTTGTCTAACAAATAAATATTTAATGGTGTAAAAGGCAATACATTAGGCTCAGAGAACCAATTGATTTATAGATCCGTATAAAGCAATACAGTTTTCTGAATCTTTTTATATATTCATCCATTTGTGGGTATATGATCATCTTTTCAATACTAAAAGTAGTTAACGTTAAGAGAATATTCTAAATCCATGATGACCTTTTAATAGTAATTAGTGAATTAGATCTGATATAGCTATTTGCTTATATTTGTAAATCACCTATTCACTAGTTAGTGGTAATATACACAGGCTAGAAAACATTTAGCAAACCAATACGGCACTTTACTGGAATCGAGTGAAAATTAAAGTCCAAATATAATGCTAATGCAAAATTTTTGACTTAGTAAATTGTTTGCATCCAAGTTTAATTTTCAATCAGTCGACCAAATCGGGAACGGTGAGCGTGTAAAACTCGACCAGGACTAATACTCTTTAAGTGAACATTAAATTTGATGACTTCGTGCATAAGAGCATTTCTAGGATAAAAAACCTAAATTTCCAACAAACCAGAACCGAATAAAGTTTAAATATATTACGACTATATAAGTAATAAGTATGAGGTCCAAAATATCATGTCAACATAGCATGTAAGTTTAATTTTAGATTGTGCTCAATTTTCACTGGTCGAATAATGAAATCTAGTGGTTAGTGAGAATTAATGTTATTCTAATTTATGCCGTACACTGCCATACTCAAACACTGTATAATAATGTTTCCAGATGTTTATTCTGCGTGACAGACGCAGTTTACTGGATTTAACTTCAATTAATCTAACAATTTAACTCACACAAAGTTCACAAATCTTACAAAATGTTTACAGAGTGATAGTTTTTATCTTACCATACAAGAGGTTTCTTCAAATACATCATTTTGTTCATTTCTCTTTATTTTGTAATCACTGACTAGAGTTTGATTCGCATCTTTTTTTCGTGATGATATCTGTCGAACAAATGACTGACATTTTTCTGGCCTTGATGCCAACATAAATAGTAGATTCCCGTTACCTTTCTGTTTAGATCTTTTCTGTCTAATAAAATCATTTTTGTGATGATAACAGAATGAAATAAATAAAGGTGTTTTGCTTTCACTGTTCAGACTAAGTGGTTTATTGAAAAAAATGGTTTTAATAGGATATCGTTAGAAAATAAAAAACCATAAAGTTTAGTTACATGGCCTCTTTCCAACGAACCTATTATCAAGCTGTACAACCATAGATATAATTGTTGTAAAAAGTCACTTTCACTGAATTGCGCATTTTTAAATGAAGCACTTTAATTACGTGTTAATGGATGGTCAAGTTCAGAAATCTCTTTGCATTTATTCTCACATTAAATCCATGGAAATCTCTTAATTGTTTGAACTAAATTGAAGTCTCGGAATAAAAGTACTGAAATAATTTCTGTAATAGTTATATAAAAGCCCAAGAACTATTTTTGACTGTCATGTAAATTAAGTACAATCAAGTGTTGATTTGGTAATTTTAAGTAGTAGAATTTAGTTTGATATACTAACTTGTAATTTCAGTACTTCCAATATGTACTCTATTAGATACGAATGGACCAACACTGAAGTCAAAGAGAAAGCAGTGGGCACGCTTGAAGGTATTAAATTTGTTACTTGAATTCGGTGAGTAATAATTTACTAAGGAATTATTATTTAGGACAAACACCATCATTACTCAAAAGAAACTCTTCAAAAATCAGTGCCGAATGAATAAGTTTTGAGCCAATCTTTCACATTAAAAAGATTCTACTACGTGGTTTATCAATTTTAAACGAAGTTATTTTAAAAGTATAACACAGGTTTTAATAAATACCTTTTGGTTTGAAGTTTAGTAGATCGTGTCTAGTTTCAGCAATACTATTATTTTAATGGTTGAGATCATGAGTCCTTTGAATCTTGAGCACCATGGAAAACCTGGAAGCACTGGACGGCCGTTTCGTTCTGTCGTGGGACTCCTATGCAGTGCGCATACTATTATTACTTGTACTAGAAAAAAAACTAGACTTTGATATTCATAATAATAGACTAACTGCCTCCAATATTTTCTTATACCTCTATAACGAAATGCGATAATACTTAATGCTACTTTGAATTGAATAACACTTCAGAATAAGGATTAAATGAAAGCAGTCTTTAAATACAGGTAAGCTTCTCAAATCTAAATATCTAATACACTCTAGAAGAATTTTGTACGAAAACTAAACACTATTTTATCGTCCTCTTTGGATATTTATATAAAGCCCTTCATTAAACTTTTTTCAAGAAGAGAGTGATAAATTAAGCTCTAATAAATGCCTTAGTATCAATAAAATTCACCAAACAATTTTATTTATGTGGTCTCTAGGATGGTTTTTGCTTCAGATTTTATTATCTAAAAGGGGATAAATCATATCAACTTTAGAATAGTTTGCGGATATTTATGTATAAGCAAACACTACATAGAATCGGTTTTCAACAGGTAGACTGAAAAATGTTTAATATTTCATTGACCAGTAACTCATAAAGCTAATATTTTGCTACCTTATTATATTACAAACGTGTGTTGTAGTTGGCCAGTACTATCTAATATTTTCTTTGTTCGATTCACATCTAATGTAATGAATGTTACAAAGATTTTTATTCCATAAGATAAAAGGCAAAATAATTGTCTTTTTAGTATGTGAATGAGTCACTGTAAATGATAATTGATCAATGCTTACGACTCCCAGTTCGGTAAGGTTACTCCATTTCTACCTGTTTTACTTCTCTCTGTCTACTGAATATTTATGTTAACATAATGAAATAAATTACTCAAAATAATGGGGAATATTGTGTCTCAGGGAGAAGATTTTGGAGGTGTTGTGCCCTCTGCTCTCAGAGATTTAATCAGTTGGACATGAGATCCTTTGTTCTGTTGATTATTTATTCTGAAACTTAATTATTTCATTAGATGGTTTTTTCACTAATTTTACCATCAGATAGTGTCGAGTATATTGTTAACAGATCTAAGCAATACGGTTAAGTCAGAAACAGGTTTCCTCTTGACATGATCTTACTTGAAGAGGTTCTAAAAATCAAAAGTATATAACAGTTGCTTCATTCGATACTATGATTTTTAATAGTACAATTGTGTTATCGGAAAATTCAGATCTAGTCAAAAAAATCTTTGATTAAAAATCAGTAATGAATAATCTGATTTTCTAGAATTCAGATAAGTCTACTGATCAATTGTGAACCGTCTACTAAAACAAATATTAAAAGTTGTAGAAAACTATTACTTTTCTCTGCTGCAATAATTACTAAATTGTCAGCAATCAAATTGAATACTGTAAAAATCACATTTCATTCAATTAATAACAAGTACACTTTACTGACGAATAGCACAAAACTTGGATCCAAGGTCTCCTGCTGACCATCTCCAACCACCATTTTGTCTCAACATAGTGTACGCAATGTCAAGTCACGTAGAATAGTGGCCACATTGCAACTTTTTTGATAGGATTTGATCTGCACTAAGAAGAACCTGAAACACATGACACTGATCACCACCCAGTGATCAATCAATTATTAATAACATATGCCTATAAGAAAGAAATAGTCTAAACTGACAGATCTATTGGAGTAATCACCTACAAATAATCACTAGTTCTGGAGTGTAAGTAGTTTTGGTATATTCATATAAATACATACTCTGTCAAACCTTATCTTGCAAAACACGATTAAATAATATATATTCAATAACCCTTACTTTACTGGTTTATTTTCTAACTTATCTAACTTCTTTGATGGTATCCAGACATAAGGAGACTTTAGTTGACTTTCATGTTCTATATGATTCCACTTTTTCAGTTGATTTTTAAGTAAATTCAAAGCAATTAAATGTTCTTCTGAATTTTTTACACATTCTTCATCAATCTTAATATCTTGATTATCTTCATTAATTAATTCACCTTCTTTAATTTTTCTATTCTCTATACGAGATCTTTTTAATTTTTCCATCATGAAATAAGCATAATTTGTTAATCTTGGAGCTAAAACGAAAATTAAAACAAACATGAATGAATTTTTAAATTACAATAAACTATTAGACATTAAAAAGAAAGCATTCCAAGATATGAATTTTACCTACTCTTGATTAGTTTGACTAGTTGCTAGGTGATAATATTTTTCAGTATAGGGTTGTGGAGATTATTAAGTTACTGATTGAGATCATGAAACGATTGATGTTAGATCACCACTGAAAACCTGGAAGCATTGGACGGCCGTTTCGTCCTTTTGTGGTACTCCTCAACAGTGAGCAACCACCCACCCCGCCCTGAGTTCGAATCCCGCGAGCTAAGTCGTGGATATGAGCTGCTGAGGAGTTCCACAATAAGACGAAACGGCCGTCCAATGCTTCCAGGTTTTCAATGGTGATCTAACATCAATCGGTTCATGATCTCAATCAATGACAATATTTTTGATGGTTTGGGAAACAATATTTAATGGGTCTTACTGATTAATAAATAAATAATCACGAAATGAAGTCTTGAACTGCACATATATTATTCGCAAATAAAGTGTTACATGATCCCAGAAGTTATTTGGGGATCTCATTCATCCTTTCAATAACTAAAATTTATGTCATATTTCATATTATCAATGTTTGATTCATATCGTTTATTTAATAATATTCATATTCTTTGGCGAAAGTCATACTTTTTATATCAAATATAATTAAGGTGCTTGCAAAAACATTCATTTAATAGGTAGAGGATGCAAGTGGTATGGTAAATGAAAATATAAATATTTAGCTCTTATGAACTATTAACGCTTTTAAAGAGAAGAACAATAAAATCTATGTATATAACACTAACTAGAAATCATTCACAGTGATGATTAACTCTTTTGAAGCGAACCGTAAGTATACTTATTTGTGATAAAGAACCGTTGATGATAACCTCTGTGCTCATACTTACTGATTCGATGTTTATCTGTTCGTTGTTACACGTAAGTAGAACAGAACACTCCGAAATTCCTAGTGAATTTATTAGACCAGAACTCATTGGATCGAATGTGTCACTTTCGAATTATCTCTTATCAATCTTTCAATTATTTTTCTACTCATTCTCATTCCTATTATTTTATTTACCTTAATTCCAAATCACCTAAATAAGTGGCTGTTATTATCACCCTAAAACTCTTATTCCCATGGCTAGTAATAAATGCATATGTGTCTATCATAAATTTAAATGTCGACAGATGTCTACAGATCAAAATGAAGAGAGAAATAACTTCTAGAGGGTTTTCCAGTAACACTAAGTTTCCTTTGGTATACATCTAAGGGTTACATTTAATAGATAATTGTATCGATATTACTTCTGACGTGCGCGTCAGTAAAATCTAAAACTCAAAGAATGAATTAAACATAAACTGTACATTTCCCGTTCTATGGGAATAGTTCATCAAGCAGTGGACCCAATAGTTAAATTATTTTTGGATAAGCATATAATCAATGTTTAGTAGATTTTACTTCGTACTGTTAAAAATCGTTTGTACGGAAAGGGTGTTATGATAAACCTTGGTAGCTAATATGGAAGCAATTAAATGCTCTAATTGAACATTTCTTTACCCTTTGTTTTAAATCATCAGACAGTATTCAAAGTTATATTATCATGTTAGATAATATTCATCCCCAGTTCATACGTTTTGATTTCTATGAGAATCCTTAGGATTATGGACGTATTATTGTTCAGAATTTACAGTTTTAAAATTCATTTACATATTGTTAGTTCATTACCGAACACGTGATTTTAACTTTACTCTTATGTCAAAAACATATACTCTATTTAAATTCATTTAACATAATTTAGCGTCTGAGGTTACCCCTCAATCTTTTCCATATTCCATAAGTGTGTCTCAACAAAGTTTTTCTGTCATTTTTCTTTTATTTAGTATATCATTGCTGCATAATAGCGTATAAATTTAGGTAGAGATTTCACTTTAAATGCTAACTTTCAGTATATTCATGTTTCATATCTAAAATATTGGGTTCCACTACATCAAATAGTTGTTAATAACTCCAGATGCCTTAAATAAAATCTTTAATGGAAATTACACACTAATATGCAACACTCATCCACTAAATGAAAGAAAACGAACGAAAGTGTTGGTTATGACAGACTTTTTAAACGCTGAATACAATAAGATTAATCTCAGCCTTATTTTGCTAACAGGGTTTATATAAGACATCGTCATATAATGATGACAATAAGTCTAGTCAATATTCAGTAATTTTATGACAATTTGATCAAAGGGATAAATCTGTTTGCTTATGAGGTTATTTCATGAGATATAAAAACAGACAAATAGGAACTTACACCTATAACCATATTGTGAATCCGAAAATACTGATTGCGCAAATGAATCATAAATTAACTGGTATGGAATATCTGTAATGTTTATTTTCTCTTGATCAACCATTATAATAAAATTATTACCTGAATCTTCAATACGTTTCCATAAATAATTTTTAGCCCTAAATACAAGAATTCCATTCATTAATTTCCTTATTGTTTCCCAACATGATGGATGACAACAATTTGGTGAATTACAAGTGTAATAGTTTCCAACG